GTTCCTTTAAATCAGAGCTAGATAAGATTTTAACAACTCTGAGCTATTAGTTAAGTTCTCCCCAAGCGAGCTCGATGGGCCGAATGGCCTCCTCTTGTTTGTATAGTTCTTATGTTCTTACTCTGTGACTGCGACTCTTTATTCTCAACTGGCTGGAATGAAATCCGGGTCTGGACTTTAACTCTCTGGACCTGAACTACCCACCTCTGTTCTGGACTGTATATGTGTGAGTATATTTCAAGGGAGAGCAAAATGGGATTTGCAAAGAAGCTTCCATTGTACCTGTACTCAAACTTATGCGAATGGAAAATAAAGCAGTAATTTCATTTACATTTTTGGTGCCTTTGCCCTTGACACGACTGTTTTAAACATAATTCAGTTCTGCTTTAGCGCCCCAGAGAAGCTGGAGACTGAGAGTAGTGCCCCCTCAGCAGTTTTCCGCAGTTGTTTCACTGCAATATTTCATGTTTTTACTAGGATGAATGTGGAGTTTCATTTTTGCTTTCATACTACATTAAAATGCAAATATATTCAAATTGGGCGACCCAATAAGTGGCCTTTACAGCTTAAGCATGGAAAGTGATTGAAAGTATGAAAAGAGAGCATTTGAAAGTCCTGATGAAAGGAAGATATTTTACTGCGCTTTCCAGGAAATGTGGATGGTTGTAATCGTGACTCTTTTTCCTGCAATCTGCTTTACTGGCAGAAGGCTGTAAATAAGCCCGAGTAGACCAGTTATATAATCACTTGGATATAATCACCAAAACAAATAATTAATTGTCACCCCTCACCTTCTATCATGTCTCTCTCTTCTCCCTGTTTCTTTGCTGCCTCCCTCCCCCCACCCACGTCTCCTACCCCAGGTGTGCCCAATCTGTTCATGGTGGAGACGGTGGACTCGGTGAAGCTGGCCGACAGGGTTAACGGCTCCTGGCAGAGACTCCGGGCCGCCAACACTCAGAGGTTGAAGGTCATGGTGCAGGTCAACACCAGTGGGGAGGACAGTGAGTGACCTGCCTTCGTGATATCACGGCCTTGCCGGTGCCGACGCTGCTCTCCGGAATGTTCCTCAGACGATTGAGCTTTTAGGTTTTATTTTTTAACTTGAATTAGACTTAGTTTTCAGTCTAGCATTCATTAGTTTTATTTTTTAAGAGATTTCTATTTAGTTTTTTAATTTTAGTTCAAATTTTAGTGGTTTTATTTCTGTCTGTAATGTCTGTAAAATGGGCAAAAATTTTCCTGACATTATTAATGGTAAAGACAAATCATTACCTTAGCTACATAGTATTGAAAACAGTAATGGAAAAAATTTGTGATTTTGAATTTTATTTTGCTTAGTTTCAGAAACAATATTTATATTTTTCGTTCAGTTGACCTTTTTAATTATATTTCTGTATCTTACGTTATTTCGGTTTACGAAAAGCTTTTCTTAGTTTTAGTTCTGCTTGTCGACGATAATCCCGGTGTGGGATTACAGCTGTCTCCGCTTGCTGGCTGTGTGTGTGGCCTTCACCACCTCTCATCCTTAGGTAAACACGGGCTTCCCCCCGAGGAGACGGTGCAAACGGTCAAACACATCGTGTCCCAGTGCCCCGCCCTCCACTTTATGGGTCTGATGACTATTGGCCGTCACGGCTATGACCTCAGCAAGGGCCCCAACCCTGATTTTCAGGTACACACCCGTCCTGTGATGGGGGTTGGTGGTGTGCACATGCTTTAATCACCTCAAGCCTCTTTGCAAAATGCTCCTTGGCAAAATAGCTCTTTTGTTTGAAGTTATTTAGCTCTGTTGAGCCAAGATGCTGGGGTGTGTCTGTGTGGGTCTGCTGCAGATGCTGTTGAGCCGTCGGCAGGAGGTGTGCGACAGTCTGCAGCTGCTCCTGGGGGAGGTGGAGCTCAGCATGGGCATGTCCACCGACTTCGAGCACGCAGTGAGTATCCCGCGGTCGCTGACACACTCTCCTTGTAACGCTGTGCCTCTGAACACTGAGGCTTCCCACCAACAGTCGCACAGCCCAAGGGATTTATCTGTTGGACAAACATAATGTGTCTTCAGTACAAATAGCCACAATACTTCCAACGTGTCTAACATAGCTGCCTTCCAAGTCATTCCGAGTTCGAATCATGGCCAATGCAGCCTATTTTGGGCAGCGTGGGGCTCAGCAGAAAAGGCTGCTGTACCCGCGATCGGAAGGTCGTCAGTTTGAATTCCATGGCCAGCAGAGTGATTTCATCTTTGGGCCACTGAGCAAGGCCCTTAACTGCCAGTTGTGGTCGTCTGACCCTGCTTTCTCAAAAACGTACGTTGCTTTTTTGATAACATAATCTGTTAAGTAAAAGAAATGTAAATGTCTTCAAGTGTAAATGTAAACATTAACATTGTTTAACCCCTTTGACGTTGGGGACCAGATCGAAGTGGGTGCTACCAATGTGCGTGTGGGAAGCACCATCTTCGGGGAGCGGGACTACCCCAACACACCCAGCCCCGAGAGGAGGCCGAAGGTAGGGGCCGAGGAGGCAACCGGGAAGATGGAGCGGCTCGCCGTGTCCGATCACTGAACCTGGATGTTCCTGGAGTCTACAGAAAGTGCCGGAGGGTAACAGGTGCAGTTCGGAGCCTTTAGCTGATCGCATTAAGAGTTTAAAAGCCTTTAATAAGCATTTAGCGTTAATTAGCTGTGTGATGCCATGGCTCCCTCGCTGAGAGGTCGTTCCTCAGCGTTCTAGGTTGGTGCGCTCCTCTCCTTGAGCACTTTGCGTCGAGTAGATATTTACATGGGCGAAGCACCTTCACCCGCAGCCTCGGCCAGGAAAGCGCCGTGAAACGCAGACAGCGCCGCCTGTCGATATTGACATTGTCGTTTTCCCCAGGGGAGGTGGAACAGAGCCCAGTCCAACGACAGGATCACAGATCGAACGGCATCTCAGAGCGGATCTAGTTGGCATGGTGCTTGGCAGCTGGAAAAAACTGACTACCCCCCCATCCCCAAACTCAACATGGTGTTACTTATATCTGTGAGATTAATGTGTAAATGATAAATACTGTCATTGTTGAAACCTCAGCGCCGGGTAATCGGATCACTGGATTGCAGCGATCGTGTTATCGGGTAGACATCCTGGAATCTCTCTCGCATCTCGACTTGCAACTTCATGTCCTGCTTCTGCACTCATGAGGGGGCATGGATGCTCGGGTTGAGCTCGGAGCAGGCTGAGTGTCGAAGGAATTAACTTGGGAAGAGGTTTTTACAATAATTCATTAATCAAATTTTTATGGCACTAAGTTGGTTTTATTTAGGTAGTGTACATTTTGTTCCTCTAACAGAAGTATAATTTATACATATATAAATGTATTATGATTTGTCACCATTTGCGAGATGCCATCCATTTAACACGCATATCATTCGTTTAAATTTTGAGGTGGGGGGGGGGGCACCAGAATAGTGTCACTTTTACATCTCTTAAGTAATATCTCATAAGTTTGGGTTGAATATGTGAAGATACAATAAATAAAGAAGATAATCATTGTGGCTTACTGGCTGCTTGATGGTTTCTTGTGGGGGGGTTTCAGGGAGTACCTATAAACTGCAGATGGACATTTCTAGAAACGCAGCCCTAACGAAATGGTGGGGTGGGTTTGTTAACTTTTCATTAAGAAATTACACAAGATTTGTCCAACAAGCATGCCATCTGTTAATATGGCGGGTGAAACTGTACCATATTCCATGTCCACCCCAATATATATACTCAGTTAGTTTATTCCACATGCAGCACAAGTGACTAGGAAACATGACGATAGTTTCAAAATCATTTTTAATTCATCACAACAAAATCGACGATATAAGCCATTCAATGTCTACACAAACTCAGGCTCAAATCTGTGAATCTTCAGGCTTTGAGAAAATCCTTTATTGGTTTGAAGTGTTCTTCAGCATTTGAGCTTTCCGAGCCGCCACCAGCTGTCCGTGCTGGTGATGGTGACTCATACGCCCTCTTAACCTCTTTCAGACGTTACATCTAGCTGGAGTCTTGCCGTTTAGGCTTTAGTTGTACAGTGTGTTTGAGCTGTAGTGTTTCCTCCCTCTTCAGTGTTGTCTACATCCATATTAATCTCCTTAAAGGAGGATTTTTGACTCTTGTATGGGACAGGACTGCCAGCTGGCTGACCAGCCCACAGCAGCACAAACATGGTTAATCCTGGCTGCACAGTATGATACCAAGCAACCACTCCTGTTGTTCTTACATTTTTTTTTTTTAAAAAAAGAACTTTTATGAAGTTTTGTGGAAATCTGACTCATTCAGCCGACACGGCACGCACTTTGCCGTGACTGGTGCTTTTTGTGAATGCCAAATTATCTAAGATACAACACACTAACTTCTCAGCATAATTAACTCTACATATGTCCATATTAACTTAATTCTTAAAGCTTAGAACAATGGCCTTTCACACAATAATTACAACACAAGAAATATGGAATGCAAATAAGCTTTTTTTTTGTGAAAACTAAGCAACACCAGGGCTAAATTGTGTGCCAAGTGTGAAACGGACGGGTCCTCCAACTGCCACTACATGGAGGACATTCTGTATTTCCAACAGACTCTCTGATCACACCTATACTCCAGGATGATGAAGTCACTGCTGATTTTCAGGATGTTGTGACGTGAAACGTATTTCTGAATGTGTCTGCGTGCATCAGTCTGTCAGTGTCTTGTTCATGCAGGACGTGCAAGTGTGTCAAGTCAGTCCTTCTGCAGTGCTCTTGGTAGAATCGGAGAAGGGAGAGGAGGGGGGACAGTGGGCTCTGGTCTTCCGGCAGAGCTCTCGGCAGTATCGGCAGGGGGGGGGGGGGGGGGGGG